GATTTGAGATTTTTTTAAAAATTAAGCCAAAATGGGACAAGTCACGTGACTTCCGTCTTTAGGTGTCCCGCACTATACCTATATAAAATTTTACAATTTTATTTGAGCTCAAAGATTTTTTACATTAAATACTGTACTATAAATTTAGTTCATTTGAGAACATAGTATATATTAATATCAGATATCTATAAATTAAAGTGGCGCAGAAATAAAAAGACTTTACTCAAAATAGGTTTTTTTAGAACGTGCGAAAGTTTACCTAATACATCCAATAGGGTTAGTTAATTAAATCCGTGGTAATATACAGTACCGGTACACAGTTTCACAGATCAAAATCTTACGATAAAAAAAAAAAAAATTATTTTTCGGCAGCATCTTTCCGTAAAGTCCACATAACAATTATTATAACCAATTGAATAAAATGTTGGCTTTACGGCGGCTTAACATCGAAACAACTAAACGTGCTTTCTCTTCTTCAGCCGTAAATGCTACTAAAGTAGCTGTTCTTGGTGCCGCCGGAGGTATCGGTCAACCACTTTCCCTTCTTCTCAAGCTTAACGAATTAGTATCTCATTTGTCTCTTTACGATATTGTGAATGCACCTGGTGTTGCTGCTGACTTGAGCCATATTAACACTCACAGCAAGGTTAGTAAATTATTATGAAGAATTGCTATCGTTATTCGTCCCTTCACATCCACAAACTTAACAGGTTACTGGCTACTCTCCTGATAATGATGGTCTTAAACATGCCGTCACGGACGCCACAATAATTGTCATTCCAGCTGGAGTTCCTCGTAAACCCGGAATGACTCGTGACGATTTGTTTAATGTAGGTTATTTAATTTTTAATTCATATGACATTTTATGAGTCAAGTTTCACTGGTTGAATTATTTTTCATAATAATAGACTAATGCTGGAATCGTTAAAGATTTAGCTACTGCAGCTGCAAAGTAATTAATTATCATTTTAAAGATATAAAATTATTTAATTTACATTTATTAACAACCTATTTTTTCATTATCAGATATGCACCTGACGCGCATTTGGCTGTCATATCAAACCCCGTTAACTCTACTGTACCAATTGTCTCTGAAATATTCAAAAAACATAATGTTTATAATCCAAAAAGGTAAATATCTTAAACTCAATTTTTTGATCTTTTATTATTTATTCATTCATTTATTAATAGCATATATTAATAAATTAAAGAATTTTTGGAGTTACAACGTTGGATATTGTCCGTGCATCCCGTTTCGTATCCGAATTGAAGGATACTGATCCTAAAAATGAGAATATCGTTGTAGTTGGTGGTCATTCTGGTGTAACCATCATCCCTCTTATATCACAGTCGGGCTCGAATTTCACAGATGATGAATTGAAAGCTCTAACGCATAGAATACAATTCGGTGGTGATGAAGTGGTTAAAGCTAAAGCTGGTAAGTATGAAGATGTAAATTATTTACACAAACATTGAAAACGTTATTTAATAACTAATTATTTGATACTTTACAATAATTCAGGAACTGGTTCAGCAACACTTTCCATGGCTTTTGCTGCCTCTCGCTTCACCAACTCTCTACTTCGTGCATTAAAAGGTGAAACTGGTGTTACTGAACCTGCTTATGTAAAATCACCTTTATTTGAATCGGAAGGAGTAGAATATTTCGCATCTAAAATCGAATTAAATCGAGAAGGCGTGGGCAAAATTCATGATTTGGGATCATTAAGCCAATATGAAAAACTGCTTTTAGAAGCTGCTTTACCTGAATTAAAGAAGAATATCCAAAAAGGAATCGATTTTGTTCATAAATAATAAGTTTTTTTTGTGCTTTGTGATTAGAAAGTGCATAGTCAAACTCCTTAACCGACCTTTTGGCTGAGTATTAATGGTCAATTTATAGAAAATATCAGCATAGAGTTTAAGATACGTGAGTCTAGAGGAAAATGTGTTGATTTATAGAATTTTATTCGACTTGAAAAAGATTTGATTATGTATTATTATTAGGAAAAAAAAAAAAAAAAAAACTAATTGTACTGTATGTAATGAAATAATAAAATTTTCTGATCACATGAAACTGTATTTCATATGTTTTGTATTTATATATACAAAATTGAGTTTGTTATAGAATCTCTTATACTTAGTACATATTTCACAAATAATTAATTGTATTAATTGTTACAGCTGAAGCTAGTTTTTTTTATTTTTTTATTTATTTTATTTAACTTAAGTAATCTTGCTTTTTATTTATTAAGAAAAAAAATATATATTGTTATAACAAAAATATAAAGTAATTTAATTAGCTATATAACTATTTTCTTTATTTAATTTTGAACTTATTTAGCTACTTTAAGTTTTGTTATAACATTTTGTTATAACTTTTTTTTTTCTTTTTGTTTGTATATATCAAGACTATGATAGTCTTTTTTTTTATTTTTTTTATTTGTTGCTATTCTTTTTTACTTTTTTTATTTGTTACTATTCTTTTTTACTTTTGTTTTTTTCTTTTTTTTTTGTTCTCTATATTGTCTTTTTTATATAACTATTTTTTCTTTATTCTGCTAGAATATAGATAGGAAAAGTTTTTAATAAAAGACTAGGTAGTCTTGATATAAGCTAATAGTAGCCTCTCTAGGATTAGAAACAAGTAAGCTATTATATAGTTTAATGTTTCTTATAAAAGAAATAGTTACTGTAGCAGATCATACTTAGACATTTTTAAGATAGCTGAATAAGTTTAAAGCAGTACTTAGAAGAATAATTTAGTATAATTTTTTTATAATATCTTATCTTGTAGCTTTTTTTTAAACTTTTTTTTAATAAGTAATAAACAAGATTATTTAAGTTTAAAAATATATATATATAAGATTATCTATTAGTTTCTATACTAAGAGAATTCTAATATTAAAAAGATTATAAAGAACAAAACTAATCTAAGATAAAGTAAAAAGAGAGAGTTTATATAGCTTTTTAAAAAAAGTAAAAAAGATAGAAAAAGTAGAAAAAGTAGAAAAGATAGAAAAAGTAGAAAAAGTAGAAAAGGTAAAAAAGATAATTTATCTTAATATTGTTTTTAAGATAACTCAATAACTATATGTTTAAATTATATATTTTATAGCTTGTTAGAAAAGTTTTATTAAGCTAGATCTAATAGTCTAACTTAAATCTATCTTTAGCTATTAAGTTTATTAAGAAATTAATATTAAATAAAATATATTCAAGAAATTAGCTATTTATAATAATACAAAAGCAAATTAGTTCAATTAATACTCACAAAAGTTAAAAGCTATTCAGGAGATACTTATCCCTTAAATTGTATTGCAGCCAAATTTGCCTGCAACTTTTAAAAATAATTTTTAATATCAGATAAAAATTT